GTAACCAGGATGGGGATTGAATCAGTTACAAAGACCCTCCCAACAAAGAAAGTCCGGGACCAGATGGCTTCACTGCTGAATTTTTTAAAGATATATTTTGGTTATTTTAAAGGCAGAATCAGGCAAAAGCCAGGAACGAGGAGTTTCATCTGAGTCTCCTACGTGGATGGCAGGGGCCCAAGCACTTGAACCATTTTCCTCTGCTTTCTCAGGTGCACTAGCAGGGAGCTGGTTAGAAGTGGAACAGCCAGGAATCGAACTGATGCCCATATGGGATGCCAGTGCTGCTGGGAGAGGCTTAACCAGTTATACTACAATTCCAGTCCTTTCACTTCTGAATTCCAGCAAACTTTTAAAGAAGAACTATTTCCAATTGTTCTCAAACTATTCAAAACAAATAAAGGGAAGAAATCCTCCCAAACTCCTTATATAAGCTCAGCATTACTTTAATTCCAAAACCAGAAAAAGATGCAACAAAGAAGAACTATAGACCAATATCCCTGATGAACATAGATGCAAAAATCCTCAACAAAATACTAGCTAATTGAATCCAACAACATATCAGAAAGATCATTTTCCTGGACCAAGTGGGATGTATCTCTGGTATTCAGAGATGGTTCAACATATGCAAATCAGTAAATGCAAGATATCACATTAACAAATTGAAGAATAAAAACCATATGATGGGGGCTGACACTGTGGCATAGCAGGTAAAGCTGCTGCCTGCAGTACCAGCATCCCATATGAGCACCAGTTTGAGACCTAGGTGCTCCACTTCTGATCCAGCTCTCTGTTGTGGCCTGGAAAAGCAGTAGAAGATGGCCCAAGTGCTTGGGTCTCTGCACCCACATGCGAGACCCAGAAGAAGCTCATGGCTCCTGGCTTCAGATCGGCCCAGCTCCAGCCAATGTGGCCATTTGGAGAGTGAACCAGAGGATGGAAGATATCTCTCTCTCTGTCTCTCTCTCTCTCTCTGCCTCTGCCTCTGCCTCTCTGTGACTCTGCCTTTCAAATAAATAAATATTTTTTTAAAAAAGAGGCTATTAAGGTTTCATCTTCCTTTTTTATTGTCTATAAAAAAAAAGAAAACCATATGATTATCTCAATAGATGCAGAGAAAGCATTTGGTAAAATACAACAACCTTTCATGATTAAAAAAACATAATCAACTTGAGCATAGAAAGAATAATCCTCAACACAAAGAAGGCAATATTGACAAGCCCACAGCCAGAATCACACTGAATGGGGGAAAGTTGGAGGCATTTCCCCTAGGATCCAAAACCAAACAAGAATGCATTTAACTCAACTAAATATTTAGTACTCATTATATCGAAGGCAGTTTTCTAGATCTCCAAAATATACCATTGAACAAAAACTCCCAGACTGGAGGTGGTTTTACTATGGAGGGCCTGAATTAGAGTTTCATCACTTTGAATCTAGCCATTAAAGATGATAAAATAGAGAAACAGGTGTAACCAAAGGGGAGAGGGGGAGGAACGGAAGGAAATAAAAACAAAAGCTCTCACATAACAAAAACTCTCACTAACAGCAAGTGTACATGGAGTGCCTGTCACTGCCTCCCTCAAGGGCTGGCGTCTGCTTTTCCTCCTGTTGAATCTGGGTTGGCCTGGGGACTGTTACCACCAACAGAATATGCCAGGCCTGGCCCTAGGGCAAAAGAGAGCTTGCCTGGCCCCACTTCTGAAAGTCCAGGAGCCCTGAGGAAACCCAGCTGGCCAGGGAGAGATGGTGTGGGGAGATCGCTAGGAGCGAGAGAAGTCCTGAAAAGACAGAGAGTGGCCTGGCTGTCTCCGCTGAGCCCAGGTGTCACTGAGTCACATGAAATGACACAACTGGGAGGTTCCAGCCAAGTCAGCTCCCCAGATGTCTGCAGCCCCAGCCGATACCACACGTCACAGGCCACCTACCTGATCCCGGCCAAGCCACAGAATCGTGCACCATATAATTATATTGTTTCTCTGGAGACCCTGGTTACTCCTGCTGTGTCCTTAGCACGGGACGGGATGGTAGGCAGGAGAAGAAAGGTCTCAAGGACTTTCTGCTAGGCTAGAGGCTGCAGGAAGTTCTTCTTGGAGACACAGCAGAACCTGCCTCAAGGCAATGACCAAATCCAGGTGTCGCCAGTAAAACATGGTCACAGGGTCAAGATTTCAGGGATGTGGCTGCGAAGAATTTGCGTGTGTGTGAATGAATATTATTAAACTATGTAATGAATTCCCATAAAAGAAATAAATAAGCAACTCACTAGAAACGATCGAGGATCTGAACAAGAAAATCACGGAAAATAGAAATGGCCAATAAACATATACAAGGTGGTTATACTTGGTGGTCGTCAGAAAGCAACCAGATGGTATTTTTCACATAATTAAGAGAGTACTCAGCAGTGAGGAGATGGTGGGAAAGCCTAGCCTCTGACAGATAGAGGTGAGAATGCAAAATGGCACAGCTGTTTGGGAGGGAATTTGGGAGTATCTAAATTTAAAATACGCATAATTCTCTTGGGACCCAGAAATTCCATCACTCGAAATCTGTCTTACAGCTGCACTCCACGGGTACTCAAGACTGTGTGAACAAAGATGGCCACTGCGCACGGTGCTCTCAAGGGTGCGGAAGCTTCGTGACTGTGGGAATTTTGTCCCTTGCTACTGTAGGCATCAGTAGCTCCGTCACTGCCGGGAACATGACAGAAGCTCAAAAGTGTTTGTTGAATGAGTAACTAGGATTGAACATTGAAAGCAAACTCATTTTCTGTCAACTGGACATGGTTAATCTCCCCTGTAATATCCTGTATGGAATTGTATGAGTCTTTAAAAGAATCTGGTAGATCTATATGTGCTGATGCGAAAGCTCTCCAAGAGCACGTATTAACATTAAAGGAGAATAATAGTAGAAAATTAGAAACAACTTAAACTCCATCACTGAAGGGCTGATTGACTGGACTGTGGTTTAAAGAAACTAATACTACACAGCATTTTACATGGTTTGCTTTCATCATGTTTATTACAGTGGAAAGGTGTCTGATTTCGCATTTCCAAAACAGGAAAATAACATTTTGAGCACTTATTATCTTGACAGGGTTATTCCTCTTAATCCTCAAAATGTCTCCATGTGCAGGTGCTAGCGTTAATGCTTCCATTTTACAGGACTGGGGAGTGAAGAAGTTAAGTGACTTGCCCAGCGTCACTCTGTGACACAGCCAAGATCTATTCCTGACTCCAGGGCTCATGTTCATAAGACCCGGTGACCACGTGCTGTGCTACACAGCTGATGGACTTAGCGCACCGATTATTAATAGTGCCGACTAGATACCAGCCACACATTTCATGGTCACTTTCCCCGTGGAACACATGCAGGCAGCAAAGTTTGGTGGTGAACAGTTCAGTTTCTGGAGCCAAATGCTGGGCCCTTGACTCAAACTTTCTACCTCTATTCATTTACCTATGAAACAGCAACACTAAGAGTAAAAACCCTACGAAGTTAGGAAAGACTTAAATGAGCCGCTATGTTTTAAGCGTTCAGTGGGCATCAGCGCATGTGCAGTCACTGAGACATCTGGATGCCTCACTCAAATACTAACAGTCCGTAGCTTGTTCATTCGTTTTTAACTGGAGTAGGGTTTAAATACTAATTTAATATTTTGGTGAGTACCTACAGAAACACCTGTAAATATGTTGAATAAGTGTATACAGACATATGTACATATACAGACGTATGCACACGCACGCGAGTTTCAGACCCAGCGTGCAACGCGTCAGACACTACAGAACCACGCTGTTTCTGTGGTGCATCTACCCGGCAGCAAGGATGTGCCCACTTAATCACCAGTGTTAATCACCGAAAAGGAGCAACAACCAAAAAGAATCTTTTGAATTAGTAACTAAACGTGAGGAAGAACTTTTTGTTCCTCTGCGACCATTTCAAATTCACTTTCAATCGCTTTATTTCGTGGATCACCTAAAGCGCAGCCTGAAATCATGCTTCAACTTCTTCCCTTTTTCAATCGTTTAACGCTCCTCAGCAAGACGCCTAGCAAAACCCGGGAGCGATTTGCAAATGGGACCTGTGGAGTCAGGCCCCCCGCCTGGGTCCCGGGACCGCTTCCCGCGCCGCCGCGGGACGGGGGGGGGGGGGGGGGGGGGGGTGCACCAGCAGCTCCCGGGGATCGCCCTCCCGCTTATCTACTTCACCTACAGTTTCAAAACCCAGCTCTCCGGTGTAACCAAGCCCTGGGAACGGAAGTCGAGAGAGCGGCCCCCTTTGGCGGAGGGTCCCAGAGACCCTGCACCTGTTCTAGACTGGAGCGGGGCTGGTGCCAGGGTCTGCAGAGAGTCGCCGAGCTGATGCTCCTAATCAGAAAAATATCTCAGGGTTTAAGGCTGACCCTGCTCTGGTCTCGGTGTCTTTGGACACCTGCGTTTCAGCGCGCGCAAAAAGACCCGAGGTGGCATGTTGTAGAAAGCAACAAACCCCTTTCAGTGGCCCTGCTACGACCTCCGCCCTCACAGGAGGTTCCAGGAGAGACAGCTCCTGGAACAGGGCACTCCGGAACAAAAAGACAGAATCCCCGTGCAGAACTGAAAATGTCCCTCCCCACCCCCCACCCCCACACCCACACCCACCGCTGTCCTGAGAGCGTTTTCCGTCCCGGCAGCAGGGCAGTGAGCGCCCAGCGTGGACCGCGGCCCCTCCAGGTGCGGGGCTCACAGCACCCTGCCCTGGAGGCGGGCATCTCCGCCGCGCGCTTGGCGCCAATACCGGATGCTCTGGCTAGAGCGGGCAGAACCGGGACCCGCGCCTCGGCGCTGCCCAGAGGCTCTCGGCCCGGGCGCGCAGCCGACGTGGAGTGCAGGCAATCCAGGCGGCTGCGCCCGCGAGGGGCCCAGCCTGAGGAGTTGTCCGGGGGTACCCAGCCAGAGCAATGCCCAGCCGCGCCCAAGAGAGAGAGGCGCCCCGCTGCGCGCCTTCGTGGCCAGCCTCACCTCAGCTCCGGGTGCATGTTCCGTGTGTAGGTGAGGCATCGCCCCAGGACGATCGCAGAGACGTGGTCGGTGGCGCCCATGGAGCTCTGGCGCCAGGTCAGGACTCCCACCCAGATCGCCAGGGCCAAAATCACCGGGAGACACACGCCGAGGACGATCAGGACTTGCTTAGAGATCCAGCTGCGGGGTCTGTCCCCCGACGCGGGGCTGAACTCGTAGTCGGGCATAGCGCGCCGTGCGGGTTCTGCGGGGCCAAGCGGGCGAGGAGAGCGCCGCGCTGGGGTGGGGAGGGAGCCGAGGCTGACCCCGTTCTGAGATCGCACCGCTCCTTTCCCTTTCGTTTGCCTGCTCGCTGCTCCCGCCCCACCCCCACCCTCAGCCCCCTGCTGCAAACTTCCGTGAGCGGACCCAAACGCGTGTGAGGGACTTGGAAGACTCTGACAACCCTCACATCCAGACTCCTGAGCCGCTGGAGCCAGGCCCCGTTCACCTGGGCGATACCCGCCGACACACCTGCATCCCGAGGCTCCCCGCCAACTCTCTTGGATCAACTTGGTAATTTCGCCGCGACTGCTTCCTGGACAGTGTGAGGGCTGACTGCCCAGCTGTGTCCCCACGTCCACGCAGTGACCGCCGCCTGGGAAGGAATGTGTCCCCTCTGCCTTCCAGCTTCCACAGTGTCTGATCAGCCACCTTTCAAGGCTCAGTTTTCAGTCTGACTCCCTCTAACAAGCGGCATTCGGTAACTAAACTCTAGCCGGGTGACATAGAGCAAGTTAGTTCTTCCTCTAAAGGAAGCGGTTGGAAGCAGTACCTCCTTTGCAGGGTCCGTAGAGGACTGAGTTTTATGTTTACAACACGTTTAGCACACTGCCTAGTACATGGCTGCTCTCAGCTAAGTGTAATGGTGACGGTCTGCTCCCTGTGATACTCAGGGGCTAGATATGGACAGCAGTTACTAAACTCTAGATGGCGTTCAGTAAGTAACCCCACGGCTTTTCCTGTCTCCCTTCTCAACAGCTGTGACAATACGACAGACACTTTAAGGTACATAAGGATCAAGCCACTAGACTCTTCCTTGGGGCGAATGTGTTCGGGCAGAGGAAATGAGCAGGTGCAGAGGCGCTGGGGCAGAACAGCCTGTGTCGAGTTGCAAGGTCCTGGTAGCTAGACTGCAGGGCTGTGGGAGAGAGGAGAGGAGAGTACCGCAGAGCCCAGCAGGAGGCCAGATTGGCTAAGGCTCTGGACCCTGTGTTTCATTTTAACCCATTCAAGGTCCTTGAGTGACTTTTTGTGACATGACATTTTAAGGATCCAGTCTGGCTTTCTCCTTGAGAATACATCATTAGAGCATAAGGGTGGGAAGAGGGGCAGCAGTTATGAGGACTTTGGCCAGGAGCATAGGGAGGAAGGGACAAGAAGCCGAGCATAGTCAGGAAGATGAGGGAGCCACAGCAAGCGGAAGTGGGACGGGTGACCCCGAGTCGAGAGGGAGGGTGACATGGGAGTTACTGATGCCACTGACATGAGGAACTAGGAGGACAGCTGCCCAGAGTAGATTCGAGAGTGCACGTTAGAAGAAAACGCGGGGTGGGTGAAGCGGGGGGCATTTTACATGTGGGAAGACTTTTTCTGACAAAAGGAGAGAGAAATCAAGTCACAGGTCGAGGACACTGGTTGAGTCTAGAGAGACTGCTTCGTTCCGAGATGAGATCTCTGTTATGTTTGCTGGATGGATGACGGATGATCCAGTAGGCAGACAACAAGTGATCAAGCGGGGGAGCGCACCTGCTAAAGAAGAAAGCTCACATGTGGGTGTGGGTGGGAGGAAGACTGCAAGGTCAGGCTGTGGCAGGAGCTCCACCACCGCGTGGAAGAAAGGTGGAGGACGTGGCCTGAGGGGGCGGCAGGTTAGTGGTGTTGGTGATGGTGACAAGTGCGTGTTCTCTTCTGAGTGTCTCCTCATGAAATGAGAAGAAAGGTTGTCTTCTACAAGTGGCTGGGCTGCTGGTGGAGTTAGAAGGAGATGGGGCGGGCAAGGGAGATGGGGAAATGAAGTATCTAAGCGTGTCATTGAGTGGGGATGAGTTTAGAGAAAGGCCAGTCAGCGACGGCGCCCAACCACTCTCACTGCTCACACAGAAGGGCAACAGTAGACAAGAGTTGGATTTGTTGGGGTTGGGGGGTGCTGGGTGTACTCATACCCTGAGGCTGCCATAACAAAATACTATGAACTAGGAGGTTAAGGAACAGAACACATTGCCGGGTGGATCTGGAGACTAGCAGGCCAAGGTCAAGGTGTCAGCACGGTGGATTTCTCCTGAAGCATTTATTCTTGGTATAGGAATGACTGTCTTCTCCCTGTGTCTTCCCATGATCCTGCTGTATCCAAATTCCCCATCTTTGATAGGAACAGCAGTAGTGTTGAATTGGAGCCTGCCTTAATGACTTCAGTGTAATTTAATTATCTCTCTAAAGGCAATGTCCCTATCTCCAAGAAGAGCCACTTGCTGAGGTCCCGGGGGTTAGGGCTTCAGAATACATGGATTTGGCCAGGGAGAGAGAGGATGTGGGGACACACCATTCAGTCCTTAACACTGGGTAAGTACAGCGCAGCAGAAGAAAGCCCAGCGAGCTGAAAGTTGAAGCAAGGATGGATTTTAATAATGCTCCATGGCACCTATGGTCCACAGACACTGACACCAATGAGAGGCAGGGGAAAAGCAAGAGCGCTCAGGGCTGAGAGGCCCTGATGGGGCCAACGGGTTGCTGGAGAACACAGATATCTCCCCACCGAGTGCTTTCACACGCAATGCAAACTCACTGCGTCCAGAGCACAACCGTTTCTCTGCCTCCTTCAAACTGGCTCCTCTCTCTCTCTCTCTCTCTCTCTGTGTGTGTGTGTGTGTCTTAAGATTTGTCTGTTTATGTATTTGGGAAGAGAAAGAGGGAGAGATCAATCTTTTGTCCACTGATTCACTCCCCCAAAGAATCACAACAGCCAGTGCTGGGCCAAGCCAAAGCCAGAAGCCGGGAAATCCATCTGGGTCTCCCACATGGCTGGCAGGGACCCAAGTACTTGAGCCATCATCTGCTGCCTCAAAGGCACACACTGCATCCCCTTCGTTCTGACTGGTGCTGTGGGCACTGGCTGCGCCTGCCCCCAGCTCCTTTTCGCGACTTCTGCATTTCCATAAAAAGAGCCCGTGTCCCCTGAATTGCTCAAGCTGGAAACTTCCAAGCCTTCAATTACTCATCCCTCTCCCACATCCCACATAGCCAGTAGACAGCTGGCTCCTACTGCTTGCAAATTATTCATTCAACATCTTTTTCAATCTTTTCATCATCACCAGGTCGGAGAGAAACCTAGCCTCTTTCTTACCCAGCATTCTCCTTCAAACCTCACTCTTCCCTCCTTCACTCATGCTCTCACCACAGTCAGAGGCATGGGCTTGCATTCCAGCCCCCCTTTGGGAAGATGTAACGTAAAACATCACTCGGATTCCCTAACATTTCCCACTGGCTCTGGACACAGCGAGCAGCGTGTCAGCCCCTGTCTGCTCCCATCTTCACAGGCACCTCTGTCCTCAACCCCTACCACATGCCAGTCCCACTGTCCATGTCACTGTCTCTCCCCCTCCCCCTGCCTCTGGGTCTTCATAGAGGCCGTGCTTACGCTGGTAACTCTTGTCCATGAGGTCTCTGCTCCGTGCCACTTCCTGAGAAAGCCACACCAACCTTGGGGCAGGTTCCCAGGTCATACACTCTAACTGAATAATGGCTGCCCGTCTGTATCCTGGGACAATACAGACCCCTGAGGCTCTGGTCTGGACCACCCAAGCGAGGTACCTTCTGAGAATTTCTTCTAGGCACTCCCTCCTCAAAGGAGTTTGCTCAGGAATAGACCATCAGCAATTCCAATTTCTTTTCCTATAGTGTCCTGGGACTCAGGTTGGTATCCGGAACCACTGGTTTAACAGAGGAAATGAGTAACAAACCAGGATGGTATTTGTGGCATCCCCTAACCCACCCTTTCTGAGAAATAGAGAACGGGATTCAGAGTTCTCAAAATCCCACGTCTAAACAATGTGGAAATGGAAAGAGAAAGCTGGATTTCCCTCTGTTCATTTCCTGACTTCTGACCTTTCTGTGTCCACTGCCATCTCCCACCCCTTTTTCTGGGAAAAACATTATTTCCTGTTATCTATAGCTCAAGGTTCACAATCAGTTACTGTGTAACAAGGCTTTCATACCTCCTTCTGACTTGTAAAACAAAACATGGAAGACTTTCTCCAGAATCAGCTTTAAAAAGGGTATCTTTGAAAACAACAAATAGAATTAATACACACTGAGTGAAAGTCAGTAGTCAAAGGGCCGGCGCTGTAGCATAGCAGGTAAAGCTGCCTGCAGTGCCAGCATCCCATATGGGTGCCTGTTCAAGACTGGCTGCTCTACTTCCGATCCAGCTCTCTGCTATGGCCTGGGAAAGCAGTAGAAGACGGCCCACATCCTTGGGCCCCTGCACCCATATGGGAGACCCAGAAGAAGCTCCTGGCTCCTGACTTTGGATTGGCTCAGCTCTGGCCATTGCAGCCATCTGGGGAGTGAACTAGCAGATGAAAGACCTCTCTCTCCCTCTGCCTTTGCCTCTCTGTAACTCTGCCTTTCAAATAAATAAATAAATCTTTTTTTAAAAAAAAAAAAAGTCAATAGACCAAAATGATAGGTGTAGACAATGATTCTTCCTCCTTCTTCAGACTCCTCTCTTGAGCAGCTTATATATACACCCCACACACCCACGCTCACACCCACCCATCCCCGCACATACACACACATGCACACAGATCTTCACTGTTTCATAAGATTGTAGCAGTGGGCTTGTCCTGTTGAACACCTGGCTTGTTCAGGTAGTGATGTGTACTGGAGACTTTCCATATCCGCACATACTGCTGCACTTAATTCTTTTACAATGCCTTCTAGTATTCTACTGGGTAGCTTACCATGGTTAAGTCAAACAGAACCATACCAATGGACATACAGTTTGTCCTCTCCTTTGTTACAACATGAAATGCTGCAATAAATAAACACTTGACCCTGACATATTTTTCACATGTCCAAGTACATCCATTCTCCAAAATGTAGATTTCCTGGGTCAGAGAATAGACACTTAAAAATTTAGAAACAGTAAGAAAAATAAAATAAAATAAAGTTCAGAAAGATGTTGCCTACTGAAGAGGTGATACCAGCTAGCGAACATATACCAGTGCCTGAGGATGCAGAATTCTCGACTCTCACACGGCGACAAGTTCAGTGTGCTTTGTCTTCACTTCTGATAATCAGCAGGGCTTCTGGGGAAACTCCAGCATTTAGTTCCTCATTTTCATAAATATAGCAAATGCTTCATAAATATAGCAAAAACTCCAGCATTTGTTAGACCCTCGGAGTGAGGATGCTAACACATAGAGAGGCACACCCCAAAGACTCAGAGTCCAGACCAGCTGATGCAAAAGCAAGAGGATTTATTCGGCGTCTGCGCAGATGGGCCTCCTGAACTCGGGAGTCCAGAGAGCACCCCCAGCACAAAGCCACACGGTTTATATACCCACAGCGACCAATCAAAAGCACTATAGAGTCCATGCACACAGCAGTCCACTCCGTGAGCTGATCATGTGAAGGGCATGGGTCTTCTATCCAATCAGCTATGGGATCACATGGGAGGCCATGCACACAGCAGTCCAATCCGTGAGCTGATCATGTGAAGGGCATGCGTCTTCTGTCCAATCAGCTATGGTTTCACATGGGAGGCATGCACCTTATCACCATTTTGTTGTTTACTTCTTCAGCAGTTACTTTCCCTGTCAGCGTCCTCTTGTTCACCCTGAGGGGGACGACATCTCGCTCCCTTTGTTCCCCTGGTGGGAGAGTGGCGTCCCGCTTCCCACACCGTTATTTGAGTATTAGGAGGTATACAAACTGGGTTAGGTCTTAGCACAGCTAGGCACAAGTGTCGCAGCTAGCTAAGCATAGGGCCCCTTATTTTTATAGCTGCACTTAATGTTAGC